AGACTGAAGTTGTCATCTCAGACCAAAGGCTGCATGCAAGAGAGTGAAATAAGGTTGGCAGGATTACATACAATTGGAAACGACAGCTGTACAGGGTCTGGATAAGTTTAATTTCCCCTCATGCCTCATTGTTCTGCCTATCTTTGAATCACACTGAAATAAACACACGGACCTAATGGAGCAAAATGAACTCAGAACCCTTCACAGTACTTCTTTCTTGAGACTGGAAAAGATTGTAAGCACCAGTTGAACCATACTGGGAAACACACAGAGGTTTGTGAACTGAAAGTACCTGCTCCTACATTTTCTTTTACTGGCTTTTAAATCAGAAAATTCCTGAAAATCTTCCTGTACCTATGGGAATTTCTTGCAGTGAACGAATGCTTTATTTGATTTTGTTTTGTTTTATTTCTCTTTGATTTTATTTCTACCATAGAACAGAGTCTTTGAGGGCTGTCTAATAATGCATTTCAAACACGTTCTTTTCTGTTACTGAGTTGCAGACTGTTTCAGCAACGCTTTAAAATGCACCCACTGCCAGGCACAAAAGTACCATATCCCAGCAGTTATTGAAAAGTGTAATGTTCTATGAAATCCGAAATAAACATTTGTTTGGTCTCTAGGACAATTACTTCTTCCATTCTATGTAAGAATACAAAATAGGAAGACCATTACATTCTCCATTCTGCAATGAATCCCACAGTGATGGACCACTGGGATATCTGTCTCCTTAACGAACACCTCATGCAATGATATTTCTCTGCTGCTTTTCTTCCTATACATTGCCTGCACTGGTACGATTTGCTGTAGTGGCTTTAATATCTTTCAATCATTGACAGATTTTCCAGAAAACTCTTTCCAAGTTTTTTCTTAAGTATATTTAATTTTCCAGTCCTCCAAATTTGCGGCCTGCATGCCTTCCTGCTGCTCCTGGCCTTTATTCTGCTATGAATGAGTGTGGTTCAAGCAGCATGCATTTTGTCCCTTGGCATTTTGCAAGCACAGTGAAAGGCAACATCTGAATTCCATGCAGTCCTGACAGATGAGAAGGAGTTGATCAAAGAAGGAAATACGACAAAAGTAAGGGCAACAAGTGTCAACTCAGGAGCAAATCAAATGCCAAACTATAAAAAGGGAAATAAGCTGACAACTGCACTGCAGAACTTAGTCTAAAACTTAATGAGGAGTGCAATATAAAGATGAGTTGATGAGGTGATACAGCTGCAAACAAACAAACAAACAAAAAAAAGCCATTGTCACTCTGGGATATATTAGAAGGAGCACCATACTGGTACGATTGTATTTGCTGCAGGTAAGCTCCTATCTGGAATTCTGCAATTGCTGCTGGGCACTGCACCTTTTGGGAGAGGGCTAGGCAATGGATGATGTACAGAGATACAACTTGTAACAGGAATATTACGATGTTAGAAATGTGAGTGGGTACAACTGCATGAGCACAAAAAAGAATGGAAGAACAATGTGAAAAAAGGGCTATGCTCATAAAGAAGGGCATAGTCCACAGCAGTAAAATTGAGGAATGCTGCCTGTGTTAAGCCCAGGAGGCCTGCACTCCTGTAAAATCAAAGCATGGGGCACTTCTCAGCATGACACCCTGCACTCTGACAACAGGAAGATAGAAACAAGATTCCAGCACATGATATATGCCATTCCTGTTCCTTACAGCCCAACCAGAATACAGCCTGTGGCCATTAGGCAGAATCTGTGGAGATGCAAGTCAGCAAACTTCAGATGCAATATTGTCATGCCGTGCTTTGGCATTTCAAGAGTATGAGACCTTTCCAAAAACCAGTTTCTCCTTGTCCAAGAGACGTGACAAGGGCTTGATACCTGGCACACCTTTTGCAGAATGGTTGGGATGGGACTTCTGGGTTCACCAGGTCCAAACTCTGCTCAGCAGGGACACCCAGAGCAGGGTGCCCAGGCCCACGCTCAGGAAGTTGCTGAAGATCTCCAAAGAGGGGACTCCACAATCACCTTGTCCTCTGTTACACATAGGTGACTGCAGACTGCCTGAACACATCTTGGCTCCTGTGAGTGCATGGGGTGTAAGGCAATGAAATCACACAGAAAGTGATTGTGAGGGGCAAAGCCAATGTACACAGAGATTTTGTAAAATAACGTCACCTTCTCATTTTATAAAGTCTCATATGAGACATTTACACCAATTTCTTACAGAAAGTAAAGCACATGCATCAGAAATCTGTGTTGAAAGGCTGAAAGAATGAGGTTTTGTAACCCAGATGAGCTCCAGGGGAATTAAGGTGATAGTTCCCCATATGGAATATGTTATCACTAGGAGGAAAACAACCAGCTGTTCTCGATGGATGCTGGGAGAAGAAAAGAAGAAAAGAGCTTCAACTGCAGCAAAATGATTTTGGCAGAGTATGGACAGGAGTGAAACCCTGGTAACAGCTCATCAGGGGCTGTTACAGGATCCTCACCAGGACTGTGCGTGATGGCAAGTATTTGTCACCAGATGTTTGCATGCATTCAGACCTGGGCCAGGCTGGCCCTGGGACCGAGGATGTATTTTTGGTGCTTAGTGCCAAATTTATTGTCGTTGTGACTCAGAGGTCCCGATGCCAGCCCAAATCTATGTCAGTTACAGGCCTGGTGCCTGTGCCAAGGTTATGTCATCACTGGGCTGAACAATCTCTCAAAGTCCCTCCTGACCTCAGTTGGATGGTTGCCACAAGACAAACCATCGCTCATGGACGCGATTTTTCCACTGGCTCCACAGACTCCAGTTCTGTATCTCACTACCAGGAATGTTAAAGCATTTTTATTGTTCTCCTAATTCTTTTTCAACAAAACTGAAAAGCGCCATCCTTAAACTGAGGGCAAAAGAAGAATGTGCTTTACCCTATTTTTTTTTCTACTTCTGCTGACTTTTGGAACAAACCTATTTGTTGGCCGGAGGTTATGTAAGTGCATCTCTTTGAGCAATCTTTGGTTGTTATATGACTGGCAAAGAGGTGGCAGCAGGGTGGTGCTGTTGCTTTTTCCTCTTTGTTTGCTTTTTTTTGCTTTTTTTTTTTTTTTTTTAAAATCTCTATTTTTCAGGAGTATCAAACCCAGGCTTCTGAAGCACTGGTACTTTGCCAGAAGTACACATGGAAATATTTGCAATGGTTATGGAGTTTAAAAAGAGAAACAAACAGCTACGTGTTTTCAAAAAGTTGTATGGGAATTTCAGGCACAGTGCTCCCTTTGTCTTTTCCAATAACAGCAATGCTCTGCCTTAGAGTCATCTATGAAATCCAGCATCAGGGTTTGAGAGCTGAGTGAAATCTGCCCCATCTTTATGTTCTGTAGCTGCTGGGAGATGTTTTGCAGTCTACCTATCCATTTAGCAGGGTCAAGTTAAAAACTCATCTTGTAGCCTGGTTTTGAAATGCTTCTCTTTTCTGCGTGTCTTCATGCACCTTGCAGCCTTGAATTGCATTTCCATTCATGAAACATGAAAGTAGTAATCATGTAATTAAGACAACGGTGGTGTCTCTACTGTGTACCTGAAAGCTAAATCCCACATCAGTTCTATGACAAGCTATGTCTTATGTCACAGTCCCTGCTCTCCTCCCATCACTTATGAAAGAAGATCATACAAGAGAGACCGATCACCTGGGGAGGACCCATAGGGAAGGAGAACGGCTTCATATTGCACAGTGCAGGTATAAGAAGATGTTTGTCTTCTCTTTGTCTGACAGTGACCAAAATGTGCAGGGCATACTGAAGAATTCTATGCTGTACCTGCAGACCATGATGGGGATGAGGATAACCTCGTGTCTGAAGGATGAATATGTCCATAACCATCTAGAGGTTGGCATTTCATTCTATGCAGCCCTTGAGCCTTCCAACTTCCACAACTTTCTCCAAGTAACTCTGCTAATACACACTGATTCATTTTTCATTTTTTTTTACATGCATGGGCCTCAGTTTTATGAAGTATCTAACAAAGTTGAGTTCTTCAGTGACTGCGTGATATACTCTCAGACCCAAAGGTTTCACTCCTGACCCAATTTTGAATGGGCAAGCTTTTGGATGAGTGCAGAAAAAGCTTTGTAAAATCTTTCCTCTGGATCCCATTAGGATCCACTTCACCTTATTAGTTTTGAGACAGCTTTTGATCAGCTTACAATATGATACAGTCATGAATATGACTTGTATGATACGGCCAACTGCAAAATAAGTGAAGTAAGTAAATAAATAAATAAAAAGCACAGTGATTAATTCAGTGCTTTTCCAGTACTCCTTTTAATCATTCTGGAGGCTGTTAATGCAGGAGGTAAGTGTGCTTATTTAAGGTAAAATCATGCAATCACTAAGGTTGGAAAGCATCACTAAGATCATCCAGTCCAACCCCAACCCACTACCACCATGCCCATCTACGACACTCAGTGCCACGTCTGCACAGTTCTGGAACACCTCCAGCTACGCTGACTCCACCACTTCCTGGGCAGCCCATTCCAATGCACTATCAATCTTTCTGAGAAGAAATTTTGTTAATACCAAACCTGAACCTCAGTTGGGACAACTTAAGACTATTCCTTCTCTACCTAACACTGGTTTTGGTGGTGCTCCGCTGCCAGATGACCTCATCTGGGTTCCTTTTTCCCATCAAAGGTTGGACCTGAGGATATTTTCGACCTGGGCTATTCTCTGATTCTCTGACGCCCAAACACCGACAGCCGAGCAAGGCGGTGCCTTCCCGTGCCCGGGATGTCGCACGCTGACAGGTGTCAGCCAGGCACTGACTGCGGGAGCGCAGCGGCGACACACAACGCCTTCCCGCAGCGGAGCGGCTCCGGACGCCGGGCACCGAAAGGCCGATCCCGCCCAGCGCCTCCGGGAAGGTGCCGAGCCGCCTCCGCCGCCCCGCCCCGCCCCGCAGCCGGGGCCGCCCCGCCGCCTGGATCCGCGCGGGGCGCCCGGGGCAGAAGGGGAGCGTTCGGGGAGGCGGAGGGAGAGGGAACGGCGCGATGCAGGCGGAAAACCCCGACGTGCTGCTGGACCTGGAAGAGGAGGAGGAGGAGGAGGGGGACGAAGAGGTGGACGAAGAGGATGGGGAGAGCGGTGAGTACGGGGCTCTCCCCGGGGCGCGATAAGGGAAAACTTGCGGGGCGGGGGTGGGAGCCTCGGGGAGCTTTCCTCGTGCCGCTGCCGCTACGGCCATCCCCCGCGGCGAGGAGAGGGGGGCGGGAAGTCCGTGCCGCTCCGTCTCTACGCACGGCATCGGCACGCGGCGGCCGGCAGGGCGCTGACGGTGAACCTGTCGGCTTCTCTCCCGCGGGGGGAGGGCGCGGCAGCGGAGCTTTCTGGATGCAGGAGCGCTGCCCGCGCACGGTGCCCCTCTCCTTCTGGCAGCGGGAGGAATGCCGCTCTCGCTGCCGCCCCCGGAGCTCGGCATCCCCCGAGACCGCTGTGGAAGCGGCTCCTGAGCAGCGCGGCTCCGCTGCAGCGTCAGCGACGGAGTGAAAAAGGAATAATGACTGGGACCAAGTGGCAAAGCGAGGAAAGACGGTCATTTCGCTGAGGGATGCAGGCAATAAAATGACCGCAGAGTTTTACACTCAAAGGCCGGGTGTTAGTCTGGCCCTGACAGCAGCAGCCCGGCACAATTACTTCTGTAATTGCTATGGGAATGAATTTTATTAGAGCAGTTGCAGCAAACAGCCCCCAAAGGGCAGGATCTCAGCAGTTCAGACCGGCGGGGTCTGTTTGTTTCGTGCTGACTGAGCTCAGTTCAGAAGCTGTTCTCAGACGCAGTACCCGATGTATTCTGAAGTGTTTTCTTTCTGCTGGTTGAAATAGGTCCAGCAGACAAGGAATGCGGGCAAATGTCAGATGAGCACACAGATGATAGATTTGTATATAGGCATTTTATCGCATAAGAAGGGTTCCTTCATGCTGGTCTTCAAACTGCTGTGGTTACTTTTTTTCTGATAAGTGCCCAATTTTGATGATGTTTGACTACTGAACTGAGTTTCTGCATTTGTACTCTACTGATGCCAACTCTCTGATGCTTGTGCTGCCTTCACATACTGATCCCCAGCAATGGCCAATTTGCCAATTCAGTCAGCTCGGGCCAACAGTGCACAGAGCTGGAGCCTCACCCAGGGTCTCTGGAAATCAGAGCACGTCTGTTCAGCACTGTTTGCCTCTGCTCCAGATGCTGTGGGAGGAGTATCTCTTGCTAAATAATAACAGTCCAAAGGCAGATGAAGTTTTCCATGTGAAGTGCAGCAGAGGGATTGTTTGACTCCATTCCTCTAGAAAGGGTGGATCAGCACCACAGCGCATGAATCAATGCGGGCCTTTTCCTTTCCATTCTTCACCCCAGAGAACAACAAAATTGTTTCCTACTCATGACTCAAGTGTGGGGTTAGTTCAGCTCCCAAAGCCAGCAAGTGTGAGCTGCTCACTCTGCTTGCAGGATGTGGCAGTTTGGAGCAATGCAATGTGTGGTAAAATTAAATAAAAATGGAGTGGGACGATTTCATCAGTTGCTATGCAAAGAAATTCCAGTGCACAGCTCAGTTGTTATTATTCCTTGCAAAATGTGTGGGTAACAGTCCCGAGGTTTTTATGTTAGGTATAATCAGAGGAGAGCTGGTTTATAAGTCTGAGAAGCTCGGTGATCACCCCTTGCTCTCCAGTTTTATGGTACTGTCTGCATCTTTACCAAGGAAGCCAGCCTTGTCTTAGTAAGGAGGCAGGACTTCTGAGTCTTTTCCAGTCCATTCATGATCAGCCCAAAGCATGCACAGCTCATCAGGTGAGCATTACCAAATCCTGACACATCAGGGAGCACTCCGGCTGGTGCCGGCAGGCGGCTGGTTTGGGTTCTTTGTGCTGATGACAAGCAGAGCACTCCTGCCAGAGCAGATGTGGGCAGGAGCCCAGAGGAAGACCAGAACTCAAGAGCCTGAATTCACTGCAGAGCACTGTAACCATGCTGTCTGCACATATAGTGTTGGAACCCATTGTTCAGGTGGCTTTTATTTAGGGAAGGAAGCCTCTTCCCAAAAGTGGGCTTTTTTGACAAGCTGAAAAGCTTTTTTTTTTTTTTTTTTTTTTTTTTTTTCCCAGTGCTTAAACTTTTTGTTTTGGAGGCAGACTGTTTTCAAGGGGAGTGTTACGTCAGTGACATCCATCTGTTTCTGAGATCTCCTCTTACTAGGCAGGAATGGTGGGAAGCACATGAAGCTGTGGTTGCCACAGAACTGAAGCTCCCCGAGCCCATTATTTTCTGCCTAGAAACTGCCAGTTTCATAAGCTGTAAAGTTTTTCTTTCCCTGGTACCAAAACTCATATAATGTCTAGATTACTTTCTTTGTGTTCGAGGATTTATTGAATATCTGAGTGTGCTTTCCAGGAAAGCCATCTTTTGAGGACAATACCAAGGGTATTCACTCCATCCGACCATTCTGTGCCAAATACTTTCCTCTCTACTGGGTTACGTGAGCTCTTCCTTATTTTTTTTTTGTCTTGTTTTTGCTCACAAATAACTTCTAGCAGTTCCTTGAACCTTGTGTGTATGTCTTTTCCTGCATTTTGAAGCTGCTGCAGTACTCAAGACCCGTTTTATAGCTGGCCAAGAAATGGCAGTTTTTGTCAAGCTTTTCCTTGTCACTCAGCCTGGATACCATGCTGATGAGAATTCCAGTTCTTTATGAAAAATATTTCATGCCAATGTTCAGCACAAATTTTTACCAACTACAATTGAAACGTACAGATTTGGCTGATCCAAGGAGCGCTATTTGTGGAATTACATCTTCCAATCATATGTGAGGAGGCATTCTTCTGCAGCCTATTTCCTTCCCGATTTGTGCAACTGCTGTACAATAGAAATCCCATTCTAATGGGTGATGTTTAACACAAACAGTAAAGAGCAGACACAGCTACTTTTTACTCCATTGCTTCTGCTCACTGTTCTGTTCTCAGCTTCGTTCCTCACAGTATACTGAATTTTCCTTTGGGTTGTAAAGGGCTCTTAAAGGTCATTTAGTCCAACACCCCTGAAATGAACAGGAGCATCTACAGGTAGATCAGGTTGCTCAGAGCTTGGTCCAGCCTGATTCTGAATGCTTCCAGAGATGGGGCATCTACCACATCTTTGGATGACCAGTTACAGTGTTTCATTACTATCACTGTAAAAAACTGCTTCCTTATATCCAATCTAAAATGCTCCTCTTTTAGTTTGAAATTATTTCCTCTCTTCCTATCATAACAGATTCTACTAAAAGTCTGTCCCCTTCTTTCTTATAGCCCCCCTTTATGTACTGAAAGGCTGCTATCAGGTATCCCCAGAGCCTTCTCTTCTTCCCCAGGCTGAACAGCCCCAGCTCTATCATCCTGTCCTCGTGGGAGAGCTGTTTCATCCTTCGAATCATTTTTTGTGGCCCCTCTATGGACCATGTTTCTCCTGTACTGAGAACTCCACATCCGCATGCAGTTTTCCAGGTGAGGTCTCACCAGTGCAGAAAAGAGGGGCAGGATCACTTCTCTCACTATGCTGGCCACACTATTTTTGATGCAGCCCAGGATACAGTTGGCTTTCTGGGCTGAGGGCACATTGCTGCTCATGTCCAGCTTGTCATCCACCTGTACCCCCAAGTCCTTTTTGGTAGGGTTGTGCTTTATCCTAACATCCCCCAGCTTGTATTGATAGTGGGTGTTACCAGGTGCAAGACCTTGCACATAATGAACGTCATGAGGTTCTCCTGGGCCCACTGCTCAAATCTGTCTAGCTTTCCCTGGGTGGCATCCCATCCCTTGGGCTTTTCAACAGCACCGCACAGCTTGGTGTCATCTGCAAAATTTCTGAGGGTCACTCGATCCCATCGTTGATGTAACTGATGAAGAAATTAAATAACAGTGATTCCAGTACTGACCCCTTATGGACACCACTTGTTACTGATCATTTGGACATTGAGCCATAGACCACCACTCTCTGGGTATGATCCCACAGCCAGTTCCTCATCCATTGAACAATCCACTAATCAAATCCATATTGCCTGCTTAGACCCTCTAAATATTCCTACTCAGTAGTTTCATTAATTTGACCTGCTTCTCATGTCCATCTTGCAAATATTATTGATACTCCAAAACAAACATACTCCATACTGATCAATAACTTCAGTATTTCCCTTCCTTTTCTGAAAAGTGGTCAATTATATACTGAACTGTCCTAAAGGCATCAGAAAGTCTGAACAGTTAGATTTGTTGACGACGGCTTCATCATGCAATTTATTGATTGTATTCCTCACACAGTGGGAAATTAAAAATTTGTGTACTCAGGAGTATGTGCAATGATCAGATCTGATAACAACATGCAAAGTTTTTTAAGCAGATTTCTTTTAGAAAGAAATGGGCAGTATTCTCCTTTTCATTCTATTTACTGCTTTAAGTAGGGCTGCCCCTCCTTACCCTTTCACACTTGCCTTTCTGTCTCGCTCCAATTTATAGGAGGGAGAGGAGGTTCTTTGAATATCTGTATACCCAGTGTGAGATTAAGAAACAATGGTTCAAATGTTGGTCTGACCAGTTTATTACAGAGATGGGGAAGGGGAGGACGGGCACGATTATGAATTGGTAATGGGGAAGGAAAGGAGGGCGATAGAAAAGATAGGAAAGAAGAGGCAAGGAGCCTTTATAGGAAGCAAGAGAGAGTCACCACCAAGGATCCAATGAGGTCTGTAGTTAAGTCATTGATCTTCGGTAGTGGTGGGTCGTCAGGCAGAGTTGTTCTGACGGCAACGACGACCATGGCGATGATGGCCCCTTTTCAATGGTTCCAAAGTGGTCGAGTCAGCTCTCTTTGGAGTGACGGCTCAAACCCAAAGTGGTTGAGTCTGCTCTCCTTGGAGTGGCAGCTTCTGGCTTTGGGATCTCAGTAGAAACTCCTTTGTTCCTATCTTCCTGGCCTTGCTGGCAGATAAGAGGGAGCAGGGAGGCACCAACTTGTATCTTGCCTTCACAGAATAAAATGGCATCATCCCCCAGCCTCTCATAACAAACTGGAGTTGTTCGATCACAGGCTAGATCTTCCACCAGTAAACTGTCCTGAGCAC